ATTACAGTATTTGTTGAACCTAAGTAAATGTGTATTTTGTAACAGTGTAATCCACAAGAAATATAATTGAATCTTTAATTGAAAGTTAGTAATTTATTAGTGTGGTAAAAGTAAAAATACAGGACAGGAATAATTTCTGAGAAGCGAGTTTGTTTGCAAAAATAAAATGTTCACCCCTGATGTACTGCAAGATTTGCTTGGGACGTTGTGGTTAAAACGCCTGTGAAACGTGGGTAAAGTGGATTTTTCCAGAGCGCAGATTTAAATTTGCCTGGCTGTGTTTTGTTTTACATCGCCCAGCTTACGAACGGAGTGAAACAATTCTCAGATTCGGCAAAATATGGCGTGACGGGAGCAACCATCACTTGCATTTTGCTGGTTTGTACGAACTTTACAGCGCCTTGGCTGAACAAAGCATTGAAATTATCTTGAAAGTAATCTTGCAGTAGTCAACCCTGTCTGTTTATTAGGATGTTTTATATTGTGGGATAGGTGTATAACTGCTATCCATTACATTGACGATTTATGATGCAAAATTTGATTTAAAAAAAATCATTAAATTTCTGATGCTCCTCGCCGCTTTGCACTCTGGGTACCCAACCCTCCATCCAGGCCTGTACACACGTTCAAAGTGAGCGCTGGACGACCCCCGGTGAGAATATGGACCATTGTACTTATATTTCGGCAATAAAATTGTGATATAATGATTTAACCACACCTGTGGATGATAGCTTGAATTTATATACCATGTCACAAGGCTCCTAATCATGGGGTCTACAATTATATTGATTTATTTTGCGAGAGTAAGACTTTTTTTTAATGGATAGAATTAATTAAAAAATATATATACCTTTTAAAACACTGTAAATGTCCTTGTCAAGACTGGGGAAAATAATTACAAGTCCTGATTTTCTTCTCTGCAGACGTTATACATCCCAAGACCCTGTACACAATTTAGGTAGAATGAGAAATATATTTAGATTAGAATTCGTGAAGTAATTTTGCATACGTATAATTGGAAACCCAGTGAATAAAAACATTAACATCCCACAGCGTCAATATCTTATTACCAAGGCCCTTTCCGCTGGAAATTTGGATGGAAATTTACAGACATAGCTTACACGACATAATGAACAAATAAAACTGATGAATATGATTTGGGCACGTCAATACTGCACACCGTTGCAAATAAGATTCCATCTCAAGGTGACATGGTTTTTTTAAATATTAAGTGATTTGACAGTTTGGCATGTGCGTGTAAAGATCAGGCTTTCCCGATGAGTCACGCGAAGCGTCATGTTGTTACGCTGTGTCATGTCGTTTAGTGTGAACCCAACTTGCAGACATAAAGCTCTTGTACATTCGTTTGTAGCCTTTACATGCTTTGTTATTCTCATCGACAAAGTTGAACACACGTGTGCTGACAGCCCAGGATGAAAAGCCTAGGTAACATATACTTGGAGGGTGGTGTATGCTTGTAAGCCAGCACTTAGTTGGCAAGAGTTGGTGGATCATTTAGAGATTTGTTAAATTTCCCAAGCCTGCTAACATGTAAAGGCAGCAAGAGATGGTAGCACAGCAATGTTTTGGGGGAATCCAAATTTACGGAGTTTTGAGTGTTATCTTCTCGTATGCATGTGTGTTCTTCATGTGCACAAAAAACACTCCTAAAATATGAATTCTCTAAACATGAGTGCCGGACCATCCTGAAAAAAATATAAAATAAATACGATTATCTTATTTTTCACAATAGAACGAGCTATTTGGTTGTTGTGGTTGTGTATTATTTGGGCATCTGTTCCCAAGGCCCATTTACAAAAAAAGATGCATAAACAGATATCATTGTATGTTGAATTGTTTCGCACCGTACGTAACCAACCGTGCTAATAACAGCGACTGATACGTTGGCCAATAGTAACCACAAAGATATATAACATACAGAAGAATTGCCACAATTTGCGCTCGCACATATACACGGTGCTGTGCCAGAGGTAAGTTTTTTTTTTTATATTTAAGAAAGCAAATGCAGGTTGTTGGGTGCTGAGCGATGAAGTATTCCGGGTTTTGATGGATGTGCTATTCTCGCAGGGCCGTGCCCACATCGCATTTGGAGAACGGTTGTGAAATGTCGTGGTGAGTTTCCGTAGGTTTGTGAAGGTGAAGCGATGAGGGAAGAGGGCACACCACACCACTTCTCTCCTTGGTGCCAAATTTGCTCTCCTTGCCAAATCGACGGCGCGGCGTGTGTCCACGAGGTGGCGCAAGCGAGACGTGAAGAGATCTCTGTGGAAGGGCCGAATTAACGCGGGGGGGGGGGGGGGGCTGTAGGGGTTGCAGCAGCCCCGGGGCCTGGGATTTTTTAGGTTGGCCCCCCAAATATATACTGTTTGATAATGGTTGCGTTGCAATACTATTATGCATCCTATAGCGATTTGATAATTCAATGCATAACGTGCTTGTGTATTACTAGTGACGTGCCACAATTTATATAGTTTTCGTTTTAACAATTCGTATATGCAGTAGTTTAAAACTCAAACTAAATAACTAATTATAATTATGTGTTGGGCGAGGGTGCTGCTAAAATAGTAAGAGAGAAAGAATTGCATTTACAATGAGGGACCCCCCCAAAACTACAACAGCCCCGGTCCCTCATCAAAGTTAATCCGACCCTACTCGGAAATTCATTGGTTTTGTGATATCACCTATACCCTCTATGATATCACATATCAATGAAACCCTGCGTGTTTTGTGCGTGAAAAGAACGAGTTTCATAGAAAAACTGTCCCCGTGCTTAAACAAGACTTGTGGTTGGCACTCATTCCGTTTGGTAGGCTGGATAAAGTGGTGGAAATTCTACATTTTTATGAAGGGGGAAAGTTTGCCCATGGAGACATGTAGTTAAGAGGTGCAGCTACTCAGACACTATGAATCCTAAATTGTGTTGTATTGTGATGGCAGTTATGAGTAAAGAATTTCAACAATGGGGGTTACCTCTTAAATGTGGTAGAATTTCTTGCAAAAAGAGGAAGCGTGCTTTTTCAGGACATTCGCACCGACAAAGACTAATCGTACAGCAGAGTTAATTTGTTGACTAATTGCCAAGTGCACGGATCACCCTGTGTTCCAGGGTGCAGTGTATTCCTGCTGCAGAAGCGTTCTGTGATGACGTTATATAGCTTGGCGGTGAATTGTTATTCAGTGGTTCTGAACAGAAGGTACAAAACACAACCGATGGGCATACTGCATCAAAATGCGTTGAGCCACCTTAAAAAAAGCTACTTGAAGTATCCGTTCGTAAAGGTCTATGCTGTTTACGCTTATTTTAACACGTAACATGTCTGAATGTCCGTTTACGGTTGAATCTCCACGTTGAGTTTACAATAACTAGCGCGTGTAAAAGTCAATGTGCGTGTGCTTTGTGACACGATTTCGTATTAATCATCTGGATCGCTATATATAGAGCTCTTCGTTCACACAATTAGAATATTTATATTTTATCAATTAATGAGGCCAGCTCTGTAGAGATGTAGGAATATGTACCAGTGGATTTGTGAATTGCAGTATTTTTAGTATGGATTTGCTGAGTAATAAATAGGCCCTTGTATATGTTATGGACAGTATTAGCGTTTGACAGGGTCAGGTATACATTGTAATGAAAGTACGTTTAAAGGTTTGGAAGAAAAAAAGGTAACTAACGATTTCCGGCAATAAATGAGCATGCCCTATAATGGCCTGATGTATACATTTACGTACAGCTGTAGTTAAAACCCTGCTTGCTGTACAATAAATTTTGCTAAATATGCCTATTGCGTGGTCTCAATTTGACAAATGTTATTTTTACTGTGTTCAAGATCAACATGTTAAAACGGCACTCACTTTCACGTCAACACACCTCACTCACATCCCTCCTTTTGGCAGATCCTGCATTAGTCGGCAACTGACCTCCAATGCCCCATTATATATAATTATCATCACTACCTAACTTTAGGTGTTCCCCTTGATCGCCAACTTTCAGGTGCCACTACAGTGGTTGCTGATCTCGAGGCGTTATTCAAATGCCAGTCGCTATTACATGCCCTCCAACCTATTACCTGCTGCACCCATCATAACCTCTTTCCCTGATTACATTTACAATGTCTTCTTGACACGTTCAGTTTCGAACTACCATGCAGCTTCCCATTTAATACATCCTGTAACAGTGCACACATGCCTCAATCTCAGCCCCTTTATAATTACATCCACAACATTTAATCGGCATTTTTGTTTATTCTGAACTTCCAAGTTGCCTGTCCTTTCACTTGGTGAAATTTCTATCACCCTCCGCATTCAACTGTTATTAAAATTCCAGAAACGTTTTTTTTTCTAGCTACTTTGTTAAGGGTTATCTGCACGTATTAAAAATGAAGGGCTGTGTCACAGTTCAAAGAGAGCTATATTTTACACGTGGGACGTTATTTTATTAAACCGTAGGTATCTATTAAATAAGTCACATGATGAGAAATGCATTTTTTATCTAAAAGTACGCTTGGAATCTTAAAAGCATTACTTAGGTTGCCCAGATAAAAAAGCAAAACTTTTCCATGTAATCAATTAGCACCATAATCGAACCATTAATTTACGTGGGCGTCGCCTGTGAACCAGCATTCCCAGAGATAAGACAGTTTTTTTGTTTAAGTCGCCACGGGCAGCGCTGCCCTGAACTGCCTGGAGGCCTGGGGATTGGAGGCTCATTCGTGACAAAAAAAACAGACTCGTTATGGGGGCCTTCATTTGTGTGAGGCCCGGGGCAAATTACCCTCTTTACCAACAACCTCTACCGCCGTCGGCAGCTGTGGCCACAGGTCAGTACAAACGTGTGGTTTTAGCCGTAGAACTCGTCTTCATCACACAAGAGGGCTTGCTGTCGCGGCTTGCCCCGGAATGTGTTTTTGTATGCTCATTCCACCAGCAGCATCACAGACAAGCACAGCCAGATCTCACATTTCAAATTTCTGGTGATGGTTAATAAATGCAACGTTTATCGAGATGCGAACGCATTCTGTCGCGTACAGTTTTAGCACGCAACAGAATGTATGCAAATCAAGACAAGCAGGCTGCAATGTCAATGCTGAACTTTGGAAAGGCAGACCCGCAATCTGGGCCTTTGGTCAGGATGGTAATTAAAATGTACGCACATGTGCAACCTGCTCCCCTCATTTATCATCGCCAGTCATGATTAATGCACTGCTGCATGAAGGCCTCTCAAAGCCACCGCCAATCCAGAATCCTGCGACATAATCCACCTCCACGAACCGATACCGTCTCGAACGCGTTCCATTGCTTTTCCTACCCACCAGAAGCTAAGTGGGTTTTGGGTCGACGTGATGTTGGGAACTTATAATGCAGTAGTCACAATCGTATCCCCCCTCCCACCCCCAAAAAAAAAATCGCTAAATCTCAAACTTGTTTTTCAGGATGATGCTACATTGGAATGTTTGGCCAAAGCCATGAATATTTAGCTTCGTACAGGAGGCAACTAGGGAGAAGACCCGCCGCACAGCACTGAGATTTGGCCACACCTCCCATACCCACGCCGATAATACCCGGCAAGCGATGTGGTGGTCACCCATCCAAGTGCTCATTCGACTCAAAGCTGCTTAGCTTCCAGGATCTGACAATATACAACCAAGACACATGTCATTGAATGATAACGCGCGTAATATTTCACGTACATAAATGACATGACCGTGACTCTTAAGGCGTGGAGATCGGCTGCATGCGGGGTGATTTGGCTGCATGCGGGGTGATTTGGCCGAAGGCGATGATGCCTCTGTGGTCTTGTTGCAGCAACATCTGTTAAACACAAAGTCGGTGTGAGGCGCAGTGGTTAGCGCCCTGCGCTACGAACCCGGCCATCAGTTCGATTCCTACTCACGGCCGACACCAGTGGACGATTATATTATCTGAACCAGTCCTGGGCCTCCCCGAAGTTAACTCAGCCTCCAATGAGGACCTCGTGCCCCGTGTAAACATCGCCACTGGGGAAACAAAGGCGACCGGGCGTGGTGTTGGCCGCCCACCCCATCGTATGTCGTACCGGCCTTCTCAGGTGGATCGCTAAGCGCACTTGTCCCAAAAGTCTGTTAAGGCTATACGGGGGATCTTTGTCCACGTGCTGACACGAGTTGGCACGTTGTGGCTTCCGGTAATGTTTCGTGTCTGTTATTTGAGCGTCCAGTCCTTTCTCCTGTGCGTTTGCTTGACTAATGTTATGTATTTAAGTGCGCGTATGGTTTTTGTGTGTGTGTGTATACAGTAACTGTGTCTAGAAATACAGGTGAGGGCGGGCCCCGCTCTGCTCCAGGTGGATGGGTGTGGCGCACCTCTCTTCTCTCTCTGTTGTTGAAGCCACGTGTCCCCCGGCGCATGAGACCCACGAAGTGCATTCACATCGGGGCCCGTGTGCTCCTGTGCAGCAGATTGTAGCCCCTGCGTTTGGGGAGTTAAGCTCTTGCTGAGTGGTGGGAGTGTGTGGGGGGGGGAGATCCTTCTCCCTCTCTCTCTCTCAATCTCTCCGGGTCCACCCACCAAACCTCTCAACTATGCCGAGCCAAGAGGGAGACCCCGGTCAGGGTGCGAACCTGACCGCGTGGCTTCGCGTGGCGTCGTCGCGACTCAGGGAGCTGGAGGCGTCTGTGCAGAGGGACCTGGGATGGACGCGCAGGGAAGCGCACCTCCAACAGCTCAAGGTAACTTGGGTTCGCATCAGAGACCGGTGGGGGGGGTGCGTTCCTATTCCTTAAACCCGTGCGTTCCTGTTCCTTAAACCGTGCTTGTGTGGCCAGGTTTGTATAAATATATTGTGTGCGTCATGTCTGCGGGTTGTTGCTCTTGCATTGTACATCAGCCATATGAAATAAGATGATGTTCCGGTAAAGGTTGTGTGTCTGTGTGGGATTAGATTTGTGTGAGGAGCGGTGGTGAAGCGATTAGCGCTACGCTGCGCTATGGATCCGACGATCCGAGTTCGATTTCCGCATCACGGCCAACACCGGTGGCGATTATCTGAACCTGGTCCTGGGCCTCCCCTAGGTCGACTCAGCCTCAAATGAGTACCTAGTGTGCGGGCCTTAATAGGTGCGCGGTAACAGCACTTGCCCCAACAGTCTGTTAATGCTTTATACGGGGTGATTGTTTTTATTTTGTACATCTTGATTAACACCCGACGTGCCTCTTACTTTCCGGCGAACCAAAACGGTGCGCGTGCCGCGTGTAAGGTTAAAATTAAATGACCATATTCATAATACTGTACACGTTTTTGGGTTAGATCGCGTTATTTATAAATGTGTCGTAACCCTCCACCACCCCACACGGCCAACCGGCAAAAAAGTGTCACGTTGAGAAAAGACAAAATAGTTCATTGCTACTTTAGCCCACCGGTGTGTTGAAGAGTGAATCCACATACACCGGTGGGCTAAAGTAGTGAACTCTTTTTGTCAACGCGACACTTTTTTTGCCGATTGGCCGTGTCGGGTGGTGGAGGGTTACGCCACATTTATAAATAACGCGATCTAACCCAAAAAACTTTATAATGATGAATAATATTGGTCGCGAAAGCCGACTAAGTGTTTAAACTAAATGACCATACTTCACCGCGCTGGAGGGGTGTAGCAGATTGGTGAACGCGGTGGAATCAAAGGTGGGGGCAGTAACGTTTCACCCCCCCCCCGGCCGCAGCCTATAGCACCTGTTTAACACACGTTGTTGGGTGTGGGCCCCATCCTGGCAATAATCCAGACTCAAGCCAGCTTAGCTTCCACGAGCTGCAGAGATTGTGGCCGCGGTACCGGTAAAACATTTTGTCATCTACACGTTGCTCGGTTATGGAGATGTTTGACCATACTTCACCACGCTGGTCACTGAAGTTTTGCGGGGGTCGAGGGGAGGGGAGGCGTTAGCCGTGGCGAGGAATCGAACTCCGTGGTAATGCTACCCTCGTGCCTCAAAGCAAGTAGGGTCTGGGTTTGATTCTATGTGTGGAGAGTGATTATATACACTATTAGCTGTACTACCCGGCTTCGTCCGGGACTTGGATTCACCACGCCCGGCCGCCTTTGTCTCCCCAGTGGCGATGTTCACACACCACACTACTCGTTTGAGGCTGTGTCGACCTAAGGGAGGCTCAGGACCGGTTAAAATAATCGTCACCGGTGGTGGCCGTGAGCGGGAATCGAACTCGGGTCGCCGGGTTCGTAGCGCAGCGCGCTAAGCGCTACACTACAATGCGTTACGCTTCCACACACAGACACAGACACACACAAACAGACACACACAGACAGACACACACACACAGACACACACACACACATACAGACACACACACAGACACAGACACACACACAAACAGACACACACAGACAGACACACACACAGACAGACACAGACACACAGACAGACACACACAGACAGACATACACAGACAACAACCGCCATTCGCCACTAAGTGGCGGTGACGTCACCACGACGCTTGTGCCAGGCTATGTGCACCCTGAGGCCACGTGAAGTGTCGAACGCCCGCTGGCAGGAGGTCACGGGGCAGACCCAGGTGCAACGGGTCGACTGACTGAGATGACTGGCTGATGCACCACCTGTGCCCCCTACTGTGGCAATCTGCTGTGCTTTAGCCACCCGGCGCTCCGCTCGTTGTTGTGAGCGTCACTCCTCCGCCCTCCGTTGTTGTTGGAGGGCGACTGCCTCCAACTGCCCAGTAGCGTCCTTCACGAGCCTCCTCCACAGAGGCCGATCTTGACACCGCTGGTACCAGTCATCGGTAAGTGCACTCAGCTCCACGTCCTCCTGTACCACATCACTCCATCTCTTCTCTAGCATGTGCCGCGCCCGCTTAGCCCCCTCAATCCGGCCGAACAAAAGCTGTTTCGGCATGCGGTGGCTGGGCATGCGGGCTACATGACCCAGCCATCGCAGCCTTCCCCACCGGAGGAGCTCACCGATGGGACCTTGCCCAGATCTTTCAAGGATTTGTGAGCTCCTCACACAATCCAGTCTGGTTAAACCCAGGATGGATCGTAGGCAGGCCAGCCTAAATGTTTCTAACCGGCGAAGATGTTCCATTAGGGGGGTCCACGTTTCGCAAGCGTAGAGAAGGGAGGGAATGACCGTGGCCGAGAAGACCTGAAGCTTAGTGCGGAGCGACAGACCAGGTAGCTTCCACACAGCGTTACGCAACCGATGAAAAGATATTGCCGCTCGACTGATTCGGAGTGAGACCTCTGCTGTGAAACTGGAGCCAGTCATAAGCACACTGCCCAGGTATGGGAAACTCTCCACTCTCTCCACAACTGCCCCATCACCGATTGGGAGTTGTGGGGGTGGAGTGTCCGATGGTACAAAATACCCAGGCAGGTACTTAGTTTTGGTGGGGCTGATGGTAAGGCCCCACCTTTAGTGGCATGCTCCAGTCTCAGCAGCAGCGCCTCCAACTCCTCCTCTGAATGAGCAGCTATTACCAAATCATCAGCATACATAACATGGTTGAGCAATAGGGAGCCATCCCTTGACCGCACCCGGGCATCGATCAGCCTCCCATTATATCTGTACCATATGGAGATTCCCCCGGTACAGCTATTGAAGGCTTCACAAACTACGTGGTCAAAATAGATGTTAAATAATGTGGGAGCCAGAGGACATCCCCGTCGCACCCCAAGGTGTGACACGTAGTTTTACCCGGGCCTGCTCACCATCATGAAGGTCCTTGATGATCGTGAGCAGAGGGTCAGGTACTCCAAAAGCACGAAGAACAACCTAGAGCCCAGGCCTACTGATGGTATCATAGGCCTTGACCAGGTCAATAAAGCAGAGATGTAGGTCTTGTTGGACTTCCCTACACCTCTGCTGTAGCAGACGGACAGAAAATATGGCATCTGTGCAGGACCGCCCTTTCCTGAAACCGCATTGTGGCTCCGCAAGCCTCTCCTCAGCGTGCCTGGCAAGGCGATGCTGAATAATCCTTGCCAGGACCTTTCCCGGCACACTGAGGAGTGAGATGCCCCTGTAGTTGTTACAGTCTGTGCGGTCCCCCTTCTTAAAAAGGGGGACCACCAGGGCATCCTTCCAATCCTGCGGAACCCGTCCAGTGGTCCAGACTGTTGTTATGATGTCATATAGGGCAGTCTGTGCACAAACGCCGCCCTCCCTCAGCATTTCGCTTGGGAGATCATCTCTGCCCGCTGCCTTTCCTGGTCTCAGACTCCGGATCGCCTTCAGTACTTCCTCAACAGATGGCACCTCAGCCAGCCACTCACAGGGGGTAACTTCTTCCAATATTTGAGGCACCGCAGCCTCAGCAGGGTCATCCTCACTTTGTGCCACGATGTTTTCCTGGCTGAGGGATTTTCCCTCCCCCAGGACCTCACAGAAATGCTCAGCAAATCTGCAAACCTGTTCCTGGGGGTTGGAGATTGGGTCACCGTTTTTTTCCCCTAATGATGGTAATAGGAGTGGCGCTGCAGATTACTTTTTTGATGGAATTAAATAGAGATTTGTGATCACGGGCCACTGAGGCAGACTCCATCTCCTCAGCAACCCGCGACCACCACCCATCCTTGCAGCGCCTCACGGCTCTCCGAACCTCAGAGCGAAGGCTGTGGTAAGCCTCCTCATTCTCTGACGTGGGATTCTGTAGCCGATGACAGTGGGCCTGTCGCTTTTTCTCAACCATCCTGAACACCTCCTCTGTCAGCCAGGGTCTCTGGGGAGGTCTGGACCGCGTACCCAAAGCAGCCATTGCAGCTGCATGAGTCACAGTCCTAAACCTCGCCCATTTACCCTCGACATCAGGAGGAGTCGGGGACGATGCCAATCCCAGCCGCAAGCGATGATGAAATTCTCGCTTGCAACTTTCATCAGATAACTGAGACCAGGCCACTTTAGGTTGGAATGGGGTCCTGGGTGTACACCCACCACCGGAGTGGAAGAATGGCAGGCGCATCTTACAGATGACTAGTCGATGGTCAGAGGGCAGATCAGCTCCACGGTAGGTCCTGGTGTCGAGGACATGGGCTCGCATTCGCTGGTCCGTCACTATGTAGTCCAGCAGATGTTCTTGCTTGGACCCGGCATGCATCCATGATGTTGTGTGGATGCGCCGATGCCGGAACAGCGTGTTGGTAATTACAAGCCCATGGGCTGCACAAAAATCTAGCAGCATCCTACCGTTGTTATTGAGCTGATCTGGCCCATGCCCTCCAATCACTCCAGACCAGGTGCCAGTATCATGACCAACTCGGGCATTGAAGTCACCCAACATGATGACTCTGTCCCGAGGGGCCACTTTAGCCAGCACCTGTGACAGGAGGTCATAGAAGGCATCTGACTCATCGGCTTTGCCTGCATCCCTCCACGGATGTTCATCTTCGGTGGGGGCATAAGTAACCACGACCACAATTCCTCGCCTCCGGTTGATGGGAAGGCGAGCCCAAAGTAGCCTGGGGCTTACAGCTTCCCACACCTCACCGCCACGCTCCCACGCCTCCTTCATTCTTTTGTTCAAAAGAAGAGCCACACCCTGTTGTTTGGCAGTCTGCTGCCCCGAGTAGAGGACTGTCCACCCCTCTCATGGTGGCAGGAGCCAGAGGCGGTCCACCGGACCTCTTGAATGCCACATAGATCCAGGCGGTACCGGTCCAGCTCCCGACAGAGGAGTGGCAGCCTCTCCTCCGCAGTGAGCGTT